ATTTTTAGAGCGTTAGTGAATTAAAAAAAAGCAGTATAAAAACCGGAATGTCCAACTGATAAGGCTGAAAATTTTTTCACTTGTTATTTACAGTAAGATAAATACATTCACCAACTTTTATTAAATAAAACCATTTAAACTGGGTGTTCGGATTTATATGTCACTTAGTATACATAGTTTGAGAAAAAAATCAACCTTTCTTGTCAGTGGAACTGCACGCTATGATCTTATTGTAAAAATAAACGAAGTCAAAGATGAAATGAAAGACTGGTTCCAAGTAAATCGTTTGATTATAAACCTTCAAAAGTCTGACATTGTACATTTTTATACAAGCGCCCCTGTTCAGTTGATAACAACACATTGACAGTCTGTGTAAAAAGTTATACCAATCGTATTATGCAATTCTGAAGCTTAAGTTTTGCTTACTAGACTCAGCTTTGCTAGTTTGATGTGTATTATTCTCTCGTCCACACACATCTATCAAGGCACATCATAATTTGGGGTCAATTACGTTCAATTTATAGAGCGTTTGTTCAACAGAAGAGAATACTTACAATAGTTATTCATATTTGTAAGTGCACCCTTTTCACACGTGCAAACAAAATAAAATTTATACAGAGCAAAAACATCAACACACACACACAAGGGCAGGTGAGAGTATTCCAAAACACACACTGACGCTGTCTGAAAAGTCGTCACAGTGCACCTGCATGAGAATATATAACAATCTTCCAGTTAATCTCAAGAATGCCAGTAGCATTGCTTGTTTCAAACGTCAACTACGAAAATTATTAGTTTAAAAATGTTTGTACTCTTTGTCTGAATACCTCGCACTGTGATATATATACTAAGTGACATATAAATCCGAACACCCAGTTTAAATGGTTTTATTTTAATAAAAGTTGGTGAATGTATTTATCTTACTGTAAATAACAAGTGAAAAAATTTTCAGCCTTATCAGTTGGACATTCCGGTTTTTATACTCCTTCTTTTTAATTCACTAACGTTCTAAAAATGAATATTTCAGCCGCAGTAAAGAATCAACGTTGGCGGATTTTGGTTCTTGACATCCTTTACGATCGGTTACGATGCCTACAGTACGGAGACCTGTACGATTTTGTCAACTTAGTGAGTTTGATAGGGGCCGTATAGTGGGACTTCGGGAAGCTGGACTTTCTTTTCGGGCAATTGCAGTTAGAGTGCAAAGAAGTGTATACTCTGTGGTTAGGTGTTGTCAGGCATTTCTTCGAGAACGCCGTACGCAAAGAGCAAGTGGCACTGGACGCCGCCGTAGAACAACAGACCGTGAAGATCGCCGCCTGAGATTATTGGCCTTAAGGGACCGTTTCTCCACTACCAGGTCCATTGCAAATGAATGGTTTGCAGAACACGGAAGACCTATTGGCATGCGAAGTGTTTACCGACGAATGAGAAGTTTTGGCTTGTTTTCATACCGGCCACACTGGGTCGTCCCTTTAACTCGAGAACACCGACGTAATCACCTTGAGTGGTGCAGACAACGGTCACTCTGGGATCAGGAATGGAACAGTATTGTCTTTAGTGACGAGTCTCGATTTTGTTTAGGCATGCACGATGGCCGTGCCAGGGTTAGAAGGCGACGTGGTGAAAGGAGGAATCCACAGTTTTTTGTTGAAAGACATGTTCATCACACTGTTGGAGTTATGGTTTGGGGTGCTATAGCTTATGGTTCCAGGTCACCTTTAATCTTCATCAGATATAACATGAACGCGCAGCGTTATATCCACGAAGTTCTAGAACCCCATCTTTTACCCTATCTTGACACCCTGGCAGATCCAACTTTCCAACAAGATAATGCCCGACCACATGTTGCAAGAGTCACAATAGACTTCTTTCAACATAATGATGTCACATTGTTACCATGGCCACCAAGATCTCCCGACTTATCCCCAATTGAGCACGTGTGGGATATGATGGGTAGGAGATTGTTCAATTTGCAACGTCCTCCTCAGACTCTAGAAGCACTTCGAGAGGAGTTGGTGGTTGCCTGGAATGAGATACCACAGGAGGACATTGACCACCTGATCAGAAGCATGCCTAGGCGCGTTGGAGAATGCGTAGCACATCAGGGTGCATCCACACATTATTAAAGGTCAAAGAGCTTTAAAGCAGTGCAATCATTTTGAAATGTTTATCATTTACTTATTATGCTTCATTAAGTACTTATACAAAATTTTATTAAAATAAAACCATTTAAACTGGGTGTTCGGATTTATATGTCACTTAGTATACATTACAAGATTGGAAAGGTGATTGGAATTCATGTCCATCTTTGATTACCAACTAAAAGTAGACCCCTTAAGAAACATTGCTAAAACAGATTATTAAGATTTTTTCTAGACATCCTATTTTATCATTGGAGTATTCTGCCATAAAAAAGTTTTTCCTGAATTCGAGGAGTGAAGTGATAATCCATGCATTGTAACATAAAAAAATTGCTACCAACTGAAATAGTCACAAGAGTAACGGAACTAAACTCACCAAAGCTTGACACCATCTTATGTGTCCCTATTCTGTAGTGGCCGACTCTGCTGACAATGGAAGCTAGGGGGGGGGGGGGGGGGTGGTACGTCAGTGGGGAAAGTTTTAGGTTTGATTTATGAATTGTCTTTTCTTGTTAAGCCCTTCTCGTTCAACTGTTATCTGTGTGTAATCTTTGAAAGTTTTTCATTTGAAAAATATGCATGAAGGTTATGTTTTTTAATAACAGCCCCTTTTTGTTGACAGAATGGACTCGGTTGCGCAATTTTGCATCCAATTTCTTGCAACAATTAGAACCCCCAAATGCTGAGAGAAACAAATATGACCTAAAATTAGATCCTGACATAAGGGCTTAAGAAGTCGAGCTAATTTTGAGGTTTAAAAATAATAATAATAAATAATAATGATAAATGGGCTTTATTTCGTATCTAAGTGAAAGTACAAAAAAGGCGAAGTGTCGCTAAGATTAGCGTTTTTCAACTTAACCTTAACCTTAACAAAAAAATATATACATAATAAAACATTCCACCAACAGAAATGAACAATTACAAGAATAGTCCATATTTCTAGCATTTTGTATTCATTATCAGACCTCGACTTGTAGTTTTAGTTTAAGCCTCTTTTTAAAATTAAATATATTTTTGAATGTAACAGGCAGATCATTATGTAATTGAATAGCATTGTAGCTGAATGATGTTTTGTAGACAGCCTTAGAATGTAAGGGTATCACTAACATATTCCTATTCCTTGTATTCAGTTGATTTATGTCACTACATCGTGTTAACTTATTATGCAAATATTGTGGTTGTTTGGTAGCTAAGACCTTATGTGTGAGTGTCAATAAGTGAAGCTTTTGCATGCCTTTAATCTGCAGGATACCAAGTTCCTTAAATTTATAAGAAATATGATCAAACTTTCGTATTCTGCAAGAAAATCTGACGCACGAATTCTGAATGCGCTGTAATTTGCTTTGTTCACTATATGATAGAGCTGCGCCACATATACTGTCACACTAACTGATCTTTGATATAATTAATGTTTCACACAGTTTAAGCTTTACTGAAGTAGATATTATTTTCTTATGTCGAAGAAACTGTTTCAAAATGCAGAATGATGCACTATATAATGAATTTTACGTGTTTTTTGTATTTTAGTTCTGTGTCAATCCAGAGTCCCAGGTCTTTACACTCATTCATTATAAGAAGCCAGCAATCATAGATTTTAAGGTTAATTTCCGTTTCGATCAATGTTCTTTTGTTTTTTGAGCCGAAAACCATAACTGAAGATTTAGATGGTTTAATTTTTAGGTTATGCGAGCACGAGATGTCTACTAGCATTGCTTCTGCTATTTTAAAATCTTTGTGTTGAAAACTAAAATAAATTTGAGTATCATCAACATAGTGATGGATTGTGCAATTAGGGACATATTGATGAAAATCCGATATATATAGAGAGAAAAGTAAAGGTTGCAAGTATGGAACCTTGAGGAACACCAAAACTTATAGCAGTTGACTGTGACATTTTCGAAGCTGTTAAGACCTTTTGATTTCTATTTGACAAATAGTAGCTTATCAAATTGACTACAGCATCAGTAAAACCATAGTAAGACAGCTTAAGTAGCTTAAGTAGCAGAATTTCAGGGTCTATCATATCGAAAGCTTTTGTGTAATCCAGCAGAACTAAACAAGTGAATACTTCCTTGATCCAGGCCTCTTATAACATCATCAGTGATATTGGCTAGAGCAGTTGTTGTACTATGGTTTTCCCTGAATCCAGACTGCATTGATGGAACTATTTCATTACTGAAAATATACTGAGATATTTGTATCTTCATTTCCCGTTCCAAAAGCTTCGAAAATGCGGGAAGAAAGCTGACTGGTCTAAGTTGCGTTACAGACGTGGAAATCGCTACTTTAGAAATAGGTATGATGATAGCCTGCTTCCAAGCATCAGGGAAACAGGATGTTGATATTGCGTGATTGATTATAAATATAATATGGTCTAAGAGCAAAGTGAAAATGTATTTTATCATAATGAGTGAGATTCCATCAGCCCCTACAGCATTAGTTTTAATAAATGAGAAACTCTTCGCAACAGATTCTTTGGCAACCTTTTGGAAACAGAATGACTTGAGAAACTTATTGTTTTGATATCTGTTCAGTAGTTCTAATTGCTTTTGTGTCTTGGTTATGATTGGAATATTTGAGAAATGTGAATTTATTTCATCTGCGTCATTGAAGCTATCTGGAAGAGTATTTATAGAGGACTTATTATATTAATGTGATGGAGTGCTAGAACCTGCATTGTTTATAAAACGAATATCTACAATTCTCATAAGCTTTGCGGATTGACAGTATCAAAACTGATAACATTGATAAGCTTTGTGAATGTTTATGAGAACGTTCGGCTCAGAGTTAGGTTCTAATATCAAGTTACCTTTGGAGTCAACTTCTATATATTGATGATACGACAATCTACAGGGCCGTCTTGCCTACAGACACGAACTGAGTAAAGACATCACTACTGATGTCACACTGATGGTAACCATAATGGCGGACGTGAGGGACAGCTGCGATGACGTGTTCATATATTCTGCGGACTGTCAAGGTAATACCATCTACGTCACGGACGTGAACAATGACGTCAGCTGGGCTGCTAAGGACAAGACGATGTACCCTTGGCCCCCGTATGGAACGTACAACATTCTTGGTGAGTATCTTCATGTTTTTACGGTAAGACAAAGTGGGAAAAGTGAACATCCTCCTTTTTTTCCGACTTTCTTAGTCATACGAATGTCAATTTGTGTAAAACTATAAATTGATAATATGACCCTCCGATATTAGAGATGCACCAACTGCTCGGTTTGTACACGGGACTAGACATACTCGGCGCATTTTAATACGTACTTGGTCCGGACACACGATACACAACTTTTGTAAATCAAAGAATTACAGATGTGACGTACAAGGTTTTAGCTAATATGTCTTACCTGAACCTTCCTGATATGCTCTCCAAGAAATGAACGTATCATCAAAGAAAATAGTAGCCACAATTACATCATATTTTTGCCAGAACCAGTTACCTGATTCAGATGATTTTTAAGTAAATACCGGTCATCTTCTCCAGTAAATATGTATGGTATTTGCTTAGTTTATTAGCTATGATACATGGTGTGTACTACGCTTTTTCTTAAAAGATATGTCAGTCTATGAAGCAGCTGATATAGAAGTTAAAACTGTAACCACATTGTAGTATTGAACCTTTATCCTTCATAGCAACACTCAATATACAACTAAACCATAAAACAGAATAAAATAATGGCAATAATGCAGCAAATGTCGAAAAACAACGTAAATTATGAATATTCCGCATTTCTGTGAAGAAGATATTTACCCATACAAGAGATAATTTAGCCGTTTCTAAATCTGAGTTGGCTTCGCCACAACATCCAACAGCTTCAATTTGTTTCTTTCATAAGCTCCCCCCAAAGCCAGTCCAGGAATCAATATGATTATAATTTCAGTGTTCCTGGTGGCTAATCACATGGCAGCGATTCTATTCGGCATTTTTTTGAAAACTTGCTTGGGGCTTCGCGCTCATTGCTTATCTTCATCAAAAACGTACGTTTAAGATATCGAGTATACACCTTTTGAACTTGAACCTCAGACGCACAACTATGGTGCGTTAATTTCTTGGAAAAGTGAATCAATTGTGAAAATACAAGGATTTTTCAAAAGCACAAATGTAATCGTTATATAAGTTGTCTCGAAAGTAAGGGTCCCACATTTTTTCAGGTACAAGGAATTTTTTAGTTGAATTTACCATTGGAAACGTTGATCTTTGAGCTATTTTTCTACATAGTCGACGTATTGTTTTGGACGTGGAATCCACTTTTTCATGGGGGATGCGCATTGTCGTAGTCTTATTCTTTGGCGAGTTTTCCCCTATGACGATTTTGGATTGTCCGTCTGAGCTTTTTCTGAAGCCTTTTCGTGGATCGTGATACGCTGATCTTCGAGCAAGTTTTGCTCGATCTTCGCCATAACTTCCTCAGAGCTCGACGACCTCCCGATCCGTTGTTTATTGTAGATTTTCATGCGGCCATCAAATAACTCTCTTCATCGTTTGAGGACATGTTGAATGCCGTTTTCCATATACTTCACGCAACTGGCGATGAATTTCTATGGGTGGTAACGTTTTTGTGTACAAAAGACAGATGAGCGCAGGAATTTCGCACCAGGCGACGTCGGCGAAGGAAGGCTCTATTGCGCATGGCTGACAAGCCTGTAATAAGCGTCGCGTCGCCAATAGGCGCTTCTTGTTGGGATCGGTGGTGGGGGTGCCGAAAAATACAATGCTGTTGCCAGATTTCGCCTAGCATCACGCGCGGCAAAGTTACAGCGTTGGGAATCTTATTTATAAAATAGCCCTCGAACATCAGCGAGTACCCATCAAGTGCTCGGCCGAGAACCTGGTATTCGCTATTCGAATCCGACCAAGAACCCAGTACTAGGCCTTTTGAAAAAAGTACTACTCGGTGCATTCCTAGTCGTGATGAATGGTTGTTTTGTTCGATATACAGGGTGGCCCATCCACGTGTGGATGGAATATTACTGATAAACAAATACATTTTGGGAAAATCTATGTATGCGATGTTATATATAATATTTGAGGGCACATTTCTAAAATATTGTTCATTACACAGGGTGTCGCAATTTCGACCTACATATCCTAGTTGTAAACTAATTCAAAAGAAGAAGATTGATATAACATACTATGGGATTTTGGTAATTAACTACTGAGATATAAGGTGTTTTGTCTAGAAAAACCTCGCACTTCGGCAACCCCTCAGTCCGCCATTTTGAAATTCGGAGGGCTGAATTTTGTATAAAAAAAACTTGCATACCTCAGCTTTTATCTTGTTTGTTACTTTTTCGAATTCTAATTTTTGCTCATACATGGTGGTCAGAAACGCAAATTGTAGTTTTGACCAAAAATTTAAAATACATCACTCTGTTTGGATTCAATTTTTTCTAAGCTTTTTTTGATACTAGACACGTAAGGGTTTTTATGGCCATTTTTTGGTTATTATCTTTTATGGAACGGCTTAATTCGCTAAAATATCGCATCGTCCTTGGAAAAAACTAAATTGATGATTAGTTACAAACTGTGCTTTGCAAGCATTATAATCAAAACGTGTTTGAAAATTAATTTTTCTAAAGCAGAAGTAGTGAATATGGTGTTCGTTTTGGGCGAAGCCCAAAGAAATGGTTTCCTAGCATCTCGCATTTATAAGCAACGGTACCCCAATATGCGACATCCAAGGCCGAAAACATTTTCCACACTACGAGAATGCTTTGAATCAAGTGGAGCAGTGGAATATAGTAAAAAATTTATAAATAATCCAAGTATAACCAATGAGGCGAATCAATTGAAGGTTCTATTAAAATTGCAGGAAAATCCCCATTTAAGTGCACGGCAATTTCGAGCTGAAACTGATATATGTATATGCAGAACCTCTGTCCAAAGGATTATTCACAAGCATAGATGCACAAAATTTGGACACCTGGAGTAGAAATCGTTGGATCGGTCGTGATGGGTCTATATCTTGGCCTCCTAGATCACCAGATATGGCACCTACGGGACTACGTTAAGCAAGGGTTTAAAGACATCCACCGTCTACCCCGGAAAATATGAAGGAAAGGATTAAGGATGCTTTTCTGAACATAAGGGAAAACATGCTGAGGGATATGCAACAGTCATTTATCCAAAGCTACGGCTGTGTATTCAACATGGTGGAGATATTTTCGAGCAGTTTTTGTAGATTAGGTCTTGAGTAGTGATAGTTGTTTGTTTAAGTTGTTGTTACAGTTGTTTTCCTCTATTAGTTTTTACATCAAATCTGTACTCTTAGTGGCAATATGGAACTAGCTCACTGTCTTTTGTTTCCATGGATGATGTGAATTTCTTCCTTAATTGTGGTTTGTTGTTCTACTAAAAGCTTAATAACTCAAAATCTGGTGACTCTATCTGAATGAAACCTTATACAAAAAAAAGCTTATAAAAAATTGAATCCAAACTTGCACAAATATAGAGGGTGATGCATTTGAAATTTTGAGAAAAGGTACAATTCGTGTTTTTGACCACCCTGTATGGGAAAAAATGAACATTCGAAAAAGTAACAAATAAAATAAAATCTGAGGTGTGTAATTTTTTTTTGATACAAAATTCAACATTCCAAATTTCAAAATGGCGGACTGAGGGGTTGCCGAATTGGTCGGTTTTTCTGGACAAACCACCTTACATATCAATCTTCTTCTTTTGAATTGGTTTATCCAAATATGCAAAAAAATTGAGTCATTTCATTTAAAAAATCACAGCTTTGGTATGTAGGTCAAAATTGGGACACTCTTTATAATTACCAATATTTTATAAATGTGCCCTCAAATGTCATGTATAACATGCCATAAATAGATGTTCCCAAAATGTATTTTTTATGAGTAATATTCCGTCCACATGTGGATGGGCCACTCTGTATATGATATTTTTGTATAAAATCTTATTTTCGATTTTATTGTATGTGTTCACTTTACCTAGAAGTCGATAATCTTTTTATTTTCTGTTATCTATGTTCTTGATAGCTACCATTACGTAAGAACTATTGTTTATTATTTCAAGATGTACATATATATAAAGAATCACTTCAAATATTTTCCATGATTCTATATTAATTAACAGCCTTGTAAGAATAGCAGAAATATTTAGGTATTTATTCACTTTTCCTCTATTTTCTCTCGAAGTGTCTGACTCTTTAGAAATTCTCATATTCAGCAAAACTATTTGATAGTCTTATACAATTTTGAATTGTTTAGCAGCTCCCTTACCTATCATCTTCCTAACGACGTCTTTATATTACTATACAGCACAATATTCGAGTAGGGACAAAAGTGTAACATGCAGAAAATAAGCGGTAGATATTAAAATTTCATTGAACCGGTGAGTAACTGAACAGAGATAATGCGTTGGTTGAAAAGCGGGGTCAACCTAGCGAACGAATGCCCTCTGTGATAATCGAAGAGCTAGGCGGCTGCATCCATATCCCAAAGTACACTAATTCGCTCCATTTTATTGAAAAAAACTGAGAACTAAATTCGTCTGATGTCTTCAAATCAATGTGTACGAGAGAGAACATATGTTAAAAAGAGATAAAAGTCGGCTGGATAGCGAAGATCATCACCGCGTTGCTTAGCAACGCTGACGTGGCAATCTGCCGCATTTTCAACATGCGAATTCCTTGAATTGAGATGCAAGTTGAAAATATGCTTTAATCTATTCTCTACGCCCAAAAAATGGTTTTATTTTGAGCGTACACATGTTTGAATTGTTATGTCGAATCTGTTTAGGATCAATACCAAATCGGTCCTAATGGCGCTTCATTTCAGGTCAAAATGAAGGGTCAGGATCGCCACAATTCTGCAACATTGCATGATAGGTTCGCTTGGCAACACCGCGTCTCGTACATTCCAAGGCAAGGTTTCCACCTCCATGATCATAAATGAGTGATTTTGGTCTGCACCCATCTAGGGCTCATTGGGGAGTGTCGTCCTGCTTCGAAATAGCCTTTAGCTGCGTATACGCAGACAGTGATAATTTGTATTGCGTCTTTGTTACATCTTTCGACCTTTTTTCGCATAAGGTAACAATGACTCAGGATGTGTTGATTTTATGACCATCGGTGAAAATAAAAGATAATTCTAAAGTAAATTAGAACAATAAGTCGCATCAAAATTGAGATAAACAATCCTAATCAAATTTAATCTAATCTAACCTATTGTAGAAGCCTGTGCCAACATATTCTGGTGTAACATATTGGCAACGCGGTAGATTACACGACCTCCCGCATCACCATCGCTAGGCATTGAACTCAAACCATGAGACAATTTTTTTTGCGTGTTTATGACCGCAGCTTGTGCAATAAACAAGAGAAAGATTTTTTCATATTGATCCGATCCAAGAGAAGATTATCCAGAGATATCTTCCAGTGTTTATACAGGGTGTCCCAGAAGTCGACGTCAAGCCGAAACCGGGTGATAGGCAAGGTCATAACAGCTATCAGAAAAATATTTAAAAAAATTTTATGTATGTGTTTTGAAAATTATAGGTCTTTGAAAAAGATATAGAAATTTCACACCCTACGACAGTCTGTCAACTCCTGTTACTACAAATATTAACTTTTTTTGGATTTTATTTTTACAATGTAATGATGAATAATGTATCTTCAAACTGGTGTCTCAACCTTACTGTCAAGTTTTCTCGTTCAGGAAAAATTTTCACTTATTTCCCAACCAAGTATTCCAAAGTAAACCTTTGCTCAACTTTAACTGGCTGTACTGGAAAAAAGTGTACTACGAGAGTTTGGCAAGTAACCTTAAAAGTTGGCGCATTTAATAACGATTCCAAAATGGTATAACACTTAGAAGATTACTCGTTAACTTATGCACAATTTTTATTTGAAAAAGAATGATGAAAATTTTTCAAAATTTCCTAATTAAACAGCGATTATGAAAACGCACAAGGACCCTTAAGGATAACTGTTTGCACAACAGTAGGCGTCAAAATGCTGCTGATGATGATTTACCTTTACAGCAAATGCTCAAACTGTTTTCCTTCAGCCGCAATACACGCTCGACATCTTCTTAAAAAAGATGGGGTTATTAAACAGCTGTTTCCAATAGTCTTTGCCGTAGCTCAGATACATTTTGAATCGGCTTGAAATACACTTTTTCTTTTACAGTTCCCCAGTAAAAAATCTAAAGGATTCAAATCAGGTGATCGGGCTGGCCACGGTATTGTACCAGACCGCCTTATCCATCTGCCTGAAAAGTTTTGATCGAGATACTCTCTCACTAAGAGTGCATAGTGCGCTGGGCAGCCATCATGCTGAAACCACATGTCCCTGTAAATACTCAGTGGCACGTCCACCAATAAATTTTGTACATGATTTTTCAAAAAATCCAAATAAACTTCAGCAGTCAAACTCTCTGGGAACTCAAACGGACCTATTATTTTACCATTTAAAATTCCTGTCCAATGGTTTATCTTGAAGCGATATTGAGATTTATCTTCTCTCATCAAATGTGGGTTTGCTACGTGCGACTCGTGTAAGTTATGCAGGTTCATGTACCCATCTTTCTTAAATGTGGTCTCATCCGACCATAAAATTTTGTCAAAGAACTGTGGATCTTTCCTGTGTCTTTCTAACATTGTGCGACAAAAAGCAACTCGGGGCTCATAATCCCGGGGCAGGAGAGGTTGAATAAGCTGTATGTGGTATGGATGAAGCACATCACTTACTTGCTATTGCACACTTTGATACCGATCAGTACTCCTTCGTTTCCTGCGCATCTTTACATGTTCGTGCTTGTTGATTTAACGTACTGTTACTAATTTTGGATTCGTGAACTGGACTGTTGATCGCTTGTGATTTGGATTTGGACTGTTTAATTTCTCTTCAAAACAACATTTGCTTTCGTTAGACTATCTTTGATAGTGTGATTGTGCAGTGCCGCTATGTCCGTGTACACCGTACAAGAATATGCTAACATGCACCTCATTTATGGGGAATGCAGATGCAACGATAGCGCTGCAGCGAGACTTTACTGTGAGAGGTACCCGAATGCAGCTCGTCATCCAGATCATCGAGTGTTCACAAATGTGCACCGCTTACTGTTCTCAGAGGGCCAACTACCAAACCAATCACACGGTGAGGGAAGATCTTTCCTTCCTTACGAAGACGTGGTGCTAGGAGCTGCCGAGGAAGACCCGAGTACTTCAGTGCGTGCAATAGAACTAAAAACAGGTGTGCCCAAAAGTACAGCCCATAGAATCTTGCAAAAAAACGTGCTCCACCCATACCACGTACAGCGTGTTCAAGCTCTTCTGCCCCGGGATTATGAGCCCCGAGTTGCTCTTTGTCGCACAATGTTAGAAAGACACAGGGAAGATCCACGGTTCTTTGAAAATATTTTATGGTCAGATGAGACCACATTTAACAAAGATGGGTACATGAACCTGCATAACTCACACGAGTGGCACGTAGCAAACCCACATTTGATGAGAGAAGATAAATCTCAATATCGCTTCAGGATAAACAATTTTAAATGGTAAAATAATAGGTCCGTTTGAGTTCCCAGAGAGTTTGACTGCTGAAGTTTATTTGGATTTTTTGAAAAATCATGTACAAAATTTATTGGTGGACGTGCCACTGAGTATTTACAGGGACATGTGGTTTCAGCATGATGGCTGCCCAGCGCACTATGCACTCTTAGTGAGAGAGTATCTCGATCAAAACTTTTCAGGCAGATGGATAAGGCGGTCTGGTACAATACCGTGGCCAGCCCGATCACCTGATTTGAATCCTTTAGATTTTTTACTGGGGAACTGTAAAAGAAAAAGTGTATTTCAAGCCGATTCAAAATGTATCTGAGCTACGGCAAAGACTATTGGAAATAGCTGTTTAATAACCCGATCTTTTTTAAGAAGATGTCGAGCGTGTATTGCGGCTGAAAGAAAACAGTTTGAGCATTTGCTGTAAAGGTAAATCATCATCAGCAGGATTTTGACGCCTACTGTTGTGCAAACAGTTATCCTTAAGGGTCCTTGTGCGTTTTCATAATCGCTGTTTAATTAGGAAATTTTGAAAAATTTTCATCATTCTTTTTCAAATAAAAATTGTGCATAAGTTAACGAGTAATCTTCTAAGTGTTATACCATTTTGGAATCGTTATTAAATGCGCCAACTTTTAAGGTTACTTGCCAAACTCTCGTAGTACACTTTTTTCCAGTACAGCCAGTTAAAGTTGAGCAAAGGTTTACTTTGGAATACTTGGTTGGGAAATAAGTGAAAATTTTTCCTGAACGAGAAAAGTTGGCAGTAAGGTTGAGACACCAGTTTGAAGATACATTATTCATCATTACATTGTAAAAATAAAATCCAAAAAAAGTTAATATTTGTAGTAACAGGAGTTGACAGACTGTCGTAGGGTGTGAAATTTCTATATCTTTTTCAAAGACCTATAATTTTCAAAACACATACATAAAATGTTTTTAAATATTTTTCTGATAGCTGTTATAACTTTGCCTATCACCCGGTTTCGGCTTGACGTCGACTTCTGGGACACCCTGTAAACATACTAAAATTCCAGGTACAACATTTGATATAATGGATGGTGTGCTAGGAATGGCCCTAGACCCCTATCAACCTGGAACGGACAGGAAGTTATACTATCATGCAATGTCTAGTCCTACAGAAAATTGGGTGTACACTTCTCACTTGAGAAACAGGACGATGTTTCAAGGAGGGGAGCTATCTACGCCAGAAATTTTCCATGTAAGTTTACCATCTGCAAGATTATGCTATCAATCAATTGCACTATTATCCTGTTTAGTAAAATAAGTATGTGGCATTATCCCTTCCTTATTGCCCTGAAACCATGCTGACGATATGCAATGGCATAGGAGAAACGGCAACAACAGGCAATGCGCCATAATATGAGTATAAATAATCACTGACTATTAATATTTTCTGCAGACTTTCGAAGGAAAAAGATCTACCCAAAGTGCGGCTGAAGTGATTGACAGCAAGGGCACAATGTACTTTGGACTCAATGGCAAGCAAGAACTCGCATGTTACGACACTAAGTCCGAGAACTATGGAGCGAGGAGTAGCATGCGAATTATTGAACACAACGATGAAACTTTGCAGTTTATCAGCGGTGTTAAGGTGAGTCACCCAAAGTTCCGCATACGTTTTCACTCGATCCAAATTCAAGATAACAAAGCTCTTGACGTGATTGACTATCAACAGGTAGACAGTGAAGCGTTTATAAAAATTGTAATTTTTCCAGCACCAGCACAGAGTTGCAATCAGACGTTCGCGTGTCCTACATCTTTACATTGTAATCGCGAAAATTTTCGAAAATGAGATATCATGTATTTTCGATTTTATGTTTTTTGTATGTTATATCAATCATTTTCTTCGGTCTGTCTGTCTGTCGGTCAGTTCGTTATTCCTATAGACGCATATAACTTGAGAAGCACTTCTCTGATTTCGATGAGATTTTTTTACACAATGTTACTGCCTATGCCAGGGACGCAAAACCTTTGTAGTTTTTGAAAATCGGTTAAGTGGCAACAGAGAAGGCCAAAAACGAAAAATTGAATAAATCGCTCAAACTTCGTTTTTTGACGTTTCAGGGTATTATGATCGTTTTTGAAAAAAAATTTGGAGACAAAAAGCTTAGGGGTGGGGATTGTACGGGATATGGAATATTAATTTAAAATTTTTAATGTCAGTACATTTATACGTTCCCAGCCTTGGTTATTTTACGCACCTATTAGACATATTTCATAGATTATAGATTTCTCCATATATTAGCCCTTAGAACTGTCACATCAAATCGGGTTAAGTATTTAGGAGAGGCGACGTTTCCAGATGCACTACTGGTGGGGCAGTTGAAGAATGTCTATGGACTAAAGGTATGGACCTGGTTGATTGACTTTTTTCTTGGAGGGCCTAGTGTGCTGAACATTGCGTCCGAAGTACAGAGTCAACCTACTCGACGTCATTTTTTATATTACAAATATTAGCCGCATTCGTCTTGTAAAACTGACACAAACTAAAACACGTTTCTCTATGTAATAGCCTTTGTAATTAAAATCACAAAATGGTGGTGTCGCCACAAACGGGTCTGAAAACGACCCTATTTGATCCTTCCCTCGAGCTAAACTCGCGTAATGCAAGGCTGTCTTTACATCTGCTGTCTTGAATTTGAATTCTAAAGGTTTCTGTTACTGTAACGAAAGCACCTTTTTACCGTCCAAAGTATAATTTATTACTTCAACACCAAAATATAATACTTACACTAATATAAGGCAATTTGACTGTAGACTCGACCTTATCTAACTGCTCCTTCATCTGGTCGGATATTTATGTGGTAAATTGACAGCTCGCTATCCTCTCCGCATGTTCTAGCAAAAACTCGCTTGCTCCTCGGCCTAACGATAGCGCCAGAAGCGCTGACGAACGTGAACTCAATCGCCCTCGAAGCTTCGCAAGCTGCGATGCAGGATGGTGTAATACTGGTTGCCTAATTTTGTGGAGTTTCGGCATCCAAGATTCCAGTTACGAGGACGTTACAATATGAAACTCAGTATAAGCTTGCCTCTATTACGAAAAAGTAAGCTGCCATGCTGTAATATCGGTACAGTTATATAAATCTTGTTAACATTGCTAGATCGAGCCTCGATCCACACCGCTGCAAACATTTATAGCTAAATAGTGTTCACTACCATTCATTATTAACATTTTAAGTCTCAAGGGCAAATGTACAAGGTGTCCCCCCCCACATCCTGCAACTCGTAGCTCCAATTATTTGCATCTCAAATCAATCAAAAATTGATCAGAAGCAACGAGCGCACATTTGAGCGACTTTAATTTATGTTTTTCATCTCTGCCGGCACTAGATCGTTTTTCAAAACTTGCATAGTTATTTCGTTTTTGGCATTGTAGTAACTTTGTGTCAAGAAGTCAAGATTTGATCAAAATTCGAGCGGAGAGATTATAGATTGACGGAAATGACTAACAGTTTTTCGTGGTGTACATGTCATAAAATATCTAAAAAAACGCAATAATCTCTTTACGAGAATATCGTTCGCAAGCATGTGAAACAGTTTTATTTGTCATTCAAGTAATTGTGGAAAAGTTAGTTTTCAATTACTATCATATCTTTTATTTTATTTTTCATATACGTAATTCAGTTTATTGTTGCATAACTTTGAGATTCGATAGAACTTTTAAAATTAATGCATAAAGTCTATATAAACATGGGTCGAACAATGCGTGGCTTCCGAAATACAGGGTGTTTAAATTTACTTTCTAAAATAGTTTTTTTAAATATTTCTAACAATAATTGATGTATAACAGTGAAAATTAGTATACAAGGGTTTTTTGGTACGACAAGACGAATCATGGGCATAGTTTTACTGTAGCCGCTAGAGGGCGCTCTCCACTGTACCTGTAGTGTATTAAAATGACCGAAAAAAATTTCTTAGTGCAATTTTTTGCTTTTTAAATAAAAAAAACGGATTCTTCGCACTTTTCAACATAAAAAGCTCTCTTGTGAATTTTCGTTATAGTTAGCCGTTTTTGAGATATTTCGATTTTTAGGGTTCGATGCATTTTTAATTATTTATGATAAAATAACGTTAAAAACTCAGTATCTCGATAATTTTTAGAAGTAGGCTGTGCCTGCAAATATTTTTGATATTGAAAGCAGAATAAGGTTAAACGTCAATTAGTTGACAGTTAGTTTTGTTGTCTGTTGAAACCTGAAACGTTTTTTTGCAATTGTGAATGCATGAAATTTAGTTTCTTTTACCTGTTTTTTTGTAAGTTTTATAAAAATGCCATTTTTATTCTCCAATCAAGAGTTAGCGGATATTAATTTTGTGTATGGCTTTGTAAATGGAAACGCAGCAGAAGCAGCCAGAGAATACGCACGAAGATTTCCAAACAGACGACATCCAACTCGCTCAGTATTTGTAAGAGTGCATCGCCAAATAATTGAAAATGGTTTTGGAAATCTCCAAAGGGATTAAAACATAAATGTTCGTCAGCGCAGATTTACCCGTATGATTCTGCGTGAATTTGATAGAAATCCGACCACAATTGTTAGGAGAGTTTCTGGTGCCTTAGGAATTTCAGCAAGCCATGTTCACCGTGTTCTTAGAAATGACCATAGACGTCCTTACCATTTGCAACCTGTGCAAGGACTACAGCCAGGGGACGGAGAACGACAAATCATATTTTGTCAATGGATTCATGATAGAACTGGTAATAATAGGGAGTTTTTAAGTAACGTTTTATGGACCGATGAGTCATGCTTCACTAGACGTGGAGTGGTAAATTTTAATAATCAACATATTTGGTCGCATGAAGATCCGCATGCAGTTCAGGAAAGAAATTTTCAGCATGAATTTAGTGTGAACGTGTGGATTGGTATCTACCGTAATCGACTATTTGGACCCTATCTTTTGCCTGCAAGGTTAAATGCTGCGACCTTCTTGGAATTTTTAAAGGCTGAACATGCAAATATGTGGGATGATATTATGTTAGATTTAAGAAGATTGGCCTGGTTCCAGCTTGATGGTTGTTCAGCTCATTATTCGAGAATAGTTAGAAACTGGCTGGACAAAAATTATCCAGAAAGATGGATCGGCCGTGGAGGACCAGTCGCCTGGCCTTCACGATCCCCTGACCTAAATCCATTAGATTTCTTTGTGTGGGGATTTCTAAAAGAAAAAGTGTACCAGACTCCCGTACACAAGAGATATGCTAATAGACAGAATCAGAAATACATGTGATGAAATAAGGCCTTATTTGAATAACGCTATGCCACGTTCGATGATTCGTAGATGTGAATTGTGTATTGAACAGTTGGGTTTACATTTCGAGCAACTATTTTAGATTTTGTATGTTTGTCCTAACTATCCAATAGCATTTTAGTTGTAAATAATTAATTTAATTTGTTATATATAATATTGGGAAATTATTAAAAAACAAATATTCTGTTTTTTGTGTTTATTTGTAGTTAGGAATAATTGCTGAGTTTAAAAACACAATCTAATCGATCATCTTAATTACTTGTAATGCCCAAATCGAAAATGTAAAAAAAAATAATATTTTCCCATAAATAATTAAAAATGCATCGAACCTTAAAAATCGAAATATCTCAAAAACGGCTAACTATAACGAAAACTCACAGGAGAGCTTTTTTATGCAGAAAAGTGCGAAGAATCAGTTTTTTTATTCAAAAAGCAAAAAATTGCACTAAGAAAATTTTTTCGGTCATTTTAATGCACTACAGGTACAGTAGAGAGCGCCCTCAAGCGGCTACAGTAAAACTATGGTTCGTTTTGTCGTACCAAAAAACCCTTGCATACCAATTTTCACTGTTGTACATCAAATATTTTTCGAAATATTTAAAAAAAAACTATTTTAGAAAGTAAATTTAAACACCCTGTATTTCGGAAGTCACGCATTTTTCGACCCATGTTTATATAGACTTTATGCATTAATTTTAAAAGTTATATCGAATCTTAAAATTATGCAACAATAAACTGAAACACCCTGTATATGTGAATACAGGGTGTTCCTTAATGATATGCGAATATTTAAGGCTGTGAATCTACATGAAAAATTAATGTTAGTTTGCTTTATAAACTATGGTCCAAAAATGTTTCCGTACAAAAAACTAACATTAATTTTTCATGTAGATTCACACCCTCAAATATTTGCATATCATTAAGTGTATGTATGTCAGCCAGCTATCAAGTTCGTTTGTTTTGAGGTATCTGTAACTGATTGTCAAATTTTCGTTTAGCTAGGTGATGCTTCAATTTATTATCCGAGTAGGTTAAGTAGGCTAGCCAAGAGCTAGACTTCGCCTACGTGGAGGTCACATTATATTGTAGATTTTATAATGTGCCTAATAAAGACATTTAATTATTATTATTATTATTACCTATGAAAGTATTAATTTTTAATATAAAACAATCAATCATCAGATTCTAAAAATGAGCTCCCATAACTGTATCTTGTTCTCATTTTTGCAGGTGGTAAAGAACTCGAAGGGAATCGAGGAACTGTGGGCGGTGACCACCCCCTTCCAAAAAGTCTACACCGACACCGTGGATACCAAAGAGATAAACTTCAGGATTCTGGGCGCCAAAATCGATGATTTGGCGTATGGCACAGGGTGTAGGCATGGTTCATCTCCGCTACCCCATCACCAGACGCGACCATACGGTCATGGATACTGAAAATGATTCTGTCGATTCGTGGCTTGAGCTCTGTCTGATTTTGTATTATATTTTTTATACCGACGTTTAATAAATTACCTGGTTTTAATAAGCTTGATTATAATTTTTGTACATAAATAATGATCTCAAACTAACGCTGGAAAATTAATAAAAAGGTGCAAAAAAACTGAAGAATGCGATAATAGGAAAGATGCGTTTGCGAGGTCAAAAATGACCAATGTACGAGGTTTGTTCAAAAAGTATCGCGAATTTCAGGTTTTATCAAGAATTATTTATTTATTCGTGAATATAATAATAATAATAATAATAATGACTTTATTCAAAATATGATCATAGTATGGCAAAGTTTAGCCATGGCTACTCTACCACTTAACCATACTACAACCAGACATTACAAAACATTAGCATAACAACATGAATCAGTAGCTGTAAGGAATGCATTAAAAAGGTAAATATATAATATGAACATATACAAAGAAACGAAACAAAAGAACAAGATATCGTTCAGCAAAATGAATTTATCACTCAATGTGCTGAGTCCAGAAAGTGCAACTTGACTGTCTTCTTGAAGCGCTGCAAACTTAAGCTCTTAGAGATAGCTGGCAAAGAATTGTATACCTTGACCGCATTATAAGTAAAGGACCTTTCAAAGACCGACGTACGATGTATAGGAATGGAAAGTAGATCATTGTGCCGCAGATTTACAGTAATTTGGTTTCCACGAGGAATCAACTTACAGAGCAAATAGACGGGTTTACCAGTTTTAAAAATTCTATGCATCAATGAAGCCATAGAGTAGTTGTATAAGCCGTCAACTCTGAGCCACTGTCACTCCTTGATTTTTGAGGAAACGCTACTGTACTTCCTAAGCCCAAATATGAATCTGCAACAGTTGTTCTGAAGCTTCTGCAATTTTGACTTGCAAGCTGAGTCTAAGCATGGGTAAATGAGGACTAGAGGGTAAGCTAAAATTGATAATATGAGGCTTTCACACAACTTTTTACGGCACTTAAAGTTTAGAATATGGCGACTAGAATATAAAAGCTTCATCTTCATATAACTCGACTTCATAATATTATTCACATGTAAGTTAAATCGAAGATTTGAATCAAATATAACACCTAGATTCTTAGCATTATCACAAAATGGAATATCTATGTCGTTGATAAACAAGGAGACTCGATTTGTGATGTAATTTGAATGTCTAGGACAGTATGGTATCACGGTGCATTTTGATGGATTGATGCGGAGGCAGTGTCTATTGCAATACGTTAATATGTTATCAAGATCTAGGTTAATTTTATAGAATGCTTCATGTAAGTTGGATTCATTGAAACGAAATGTTAGCTGTGTATCGTCAGCATACATTTGAATGCAACAATGTTCTACACACTCATGCAGATCGAATGTGTATACTAGGAATAAAAGAGGTCCCAGTACTGAACCCTGTGGAACTCCTGATGACAGATACTGTGCATCAGAAGTTCCTCTAGATGTTTTTACTGTTTGGGTGCGATCAGTTAGGTACGATCTGAAGAAATTCAAAGGAACTTCCGACATGCCATAATATTTTAGCTTACTCAAAAGAATCTCATGATTGACCGTATCGAAAGCCTTGGAAAAATCAAGCATGACCAACAGCGTGCCGGATTTGTTGTCAAGGTTGGAGAGTATCTCATCAGCAACATGTAGTAGTGCAGTAGTCGTACTGTGACCTTCACGAAAACCAGATTGGTGTACTGGAAAGAAATTATTATTAGCAAAATACTCAACAAGCTGTTCGTATACTATCTTCTCCAAGACTTTCGACAAGAAACATAAACCACTTATAGGTCTAAGATCGGCATGTTCAGACGGATTCTTACTTTTGGCTAGAGGTCTGACTATTGCCTCCTTCCAGTTGGATGGGAAAACGCCCCTCTCTAAGCAAATATTTATAATATGCGTGATGTGATCAAGTATTTCAGGCAGGCATAAGCCTAGCATAGTTAGAGTGATGCCGTCACAACCCGCTGCTTCAGGCTTGATAGACAAGACTGCATTCATAACTTCACGAGGGGTCACCAGACGAAAGTGAAATGATGATACGTCGGGATCGAAGCGTCTGTTGCTGTAGCTGTTGACAATGGATTGTACTACTTTGAGGTTTTGATCGGCAGGCATAAAAGTACTTAAAAAGTATTCGTTGACTTCACGGGGATCTAGCAGATTAAACGGTACATCAACACGTTTCTGTTGACAGACATACATAGACCTAAGTGTTTTCCATGCTGATCGTGTACTAATATCACCATATCTAGAAAGGTAGGCCCTCTTCTCCCTACGAAAGGAAGCAAGTGCGTAATTCCGAATATCTTTTCTTTTCTTTATTTTATCGCCTTCAAAGTAACACCCATCAATCATTATAGACTTGTGATAACGTTTTTTCCAATCCTCGAAGCATTTTGAAAAATCTCCTTATTCAGCTCCTCCTTCGATGCCGCCTTAATCTCCTCAATCATGGCGTAACGTGGTTCAGTTTCGGGAACAAGAAAAAGTCACAGGGGGGCAGGTCTGGGGAATACGGTGGGTGAGGCATTATTTGAGTGCTATTTTTGGCCAAAAATTCGCACACAAGTAAGAATGCATGAGCAGGGGCGTTATCATGGTGCAAAAGCCGATTTTTGTTCTTCCACAAATCCGGGCGTTTCTGGCAGATCGCATTTCTCAAATTGCGCCTTACTTGAAGGTAATATTCTTTATTGCCCGTTCTACCCTGCGGCAAGAACTCGTTAATGTTTTCGTCTGTTGTTGACGTGCTCGGGCATCCGGAACGCTTCTCGGCCCTCTGAGAACATTTTGTACCACCGATAAACGTTGCTTTTGTCCAAAGTAGCTTCGCCGTATGCAACAGTCAACATTTGAAAAACACTTCAAGTTGCTTTTTACATAAAATTTAATACAAATTCTTTGATCCATTTTTTGGAATAGACAAAAATCGGGTACAAGCTAAATCACGTCCTCGCACAATAGCTGTCAGAAACCGACTGAACATTCAAAATGGACGATATTTTCAACATTAGAGAGGGTCATGAGTGCCAACATATCGCCACAAAAAGATCGAAAATCGAACATACGTCAAAGCAGTTACGTCACAATGTCAAATAATGACAGTGACGCACAGGGTTGCCACATTATTTGAAATTACCTGCTTTTCGACCAAGAGATTTCGGCATTTTAGCAAAATGCTTTAAAAGTCACCTCAAAGTTTTGAAAAAAACTGTTTTTATTAAATAACAATGTGAGCATAGAGGCAAAAAGAACGAGAATAAACCATAAATAAACAATAGCCATTGTCGTAATAATTATACCTGACAAGCCATGCGACAATGTCACAACACAGAAAACTGTTACCAACATAAATCTACCCGGGAAATTCATACTATACGTAGCAATTTAGGATCTATTTTGCACTAAGGTTGGCATTCAAATTTACTAAATATGGCGTTAGGTATATTCTTTAATCCACCGGTTGAGCTACCGGTGGAACCGGTTAGCCAATTTTGCGTCCTTTAATTTCCGCTGGAACGACCGTTTCTACATCAAACTTGTTTTTATATTGATGGTGGATATGCCACCGGTGCCAACAGCATCCACCGACGTACGGGCTCGGTTGATCCACGATATTCAAACATCTACGATTTTATCAGTTTTTGACAACTACAGTTTAGTGTGAAAAAATGGAAGAAAAGATTGAAGTTATTTTACAGCATAGGTGTCGCGTGAAATTTATTGTTTTTTTTTCAACACAATTCGAAATAAACGGAGTATCTGAAAGTAAGTGAATTTGTTTTGAATTATGGATATCGACGATCTCAAATCAATACCTCGTAAGTACGAAAATGTCGATTTTATGATTTTGTTCCTGTATGCATACAAGACTGCTCTCAGAAAATCCATATCGATGGTTCTTATTGGGAAAGCATCGACGATCTCAAATCAATGCCCCTTATTGATTTGAGATCGTCGATATCTGCAAATTTCTTGGTTTTCTGATTTATAGTTCTTATATTGATTCTCGGAGCGCAAATTCTCTCCGCTGGATAACTTCTTCATCCGAATCATTACTCGAATCACTTAACAAACGTTCCACGATAATACCAACTGCTGCGTACATTGCCATAATATTTTAAATGATACGGTATTCAAATTAACAAGTATCATTTACGATAAAACAAAGGTTAGGTTTTCTCATATGACAGCAACCTGAAGGCTAAAATGTGTCTTTTTATTAACAACCAACCAACGGAACCGGTTGCCGACGTCATCACATCAGCTGTCAACCATAAGCTCACCGGATCCATCAGTGATGGAATCAACCGGTGAATTAAAGAATATACCTATATAAGTGAACGGACTATACTGTCGTTTTGACAAAACACCTCCTTAGTATTTTTATGGTGTAACACATCAACATCCGATGAGGGTGACAACATTGTTACATTTGCTAACTTAAAGGCTTTTACGAGTTTGTTGGAAAGAAAAGCCATTTTAATATGGAGGTTGCCCAAGGAGGGTTCAAAGTGGAAGCAATACCACCGATAATGGAGAGGGAGCTGAGCGGCGGCGAATCACGTTCAAAAACTGAAAACATGGGCCCATTGACGCAGATGTCATCGGAGCAGAAAACCAACGAGAAACTGATGATGATTATAGACGATCAGGCGAGGCAAATCTGAGAACTCATGCAGACAATCAAGGACCAGACGGCTAAAATTGACAGCCCGACCGCCCAGGTAACTCTTTTGGTAAGTTCGAAAGAATCCCCCAAAGAACGGATCAACAGCCTAAAGAGACCGCTACGGACCATTACCACGATCAATATACATCGTCAGACGATAACACATACTGACTGATTTATAAACGCAAAATCTAGAAGGAGGAGAAGCAACAAGACTGACCGACGAGCCGAGGAGTTTCCACCTCTTCCAAATATACAATCCACTCTCTTACGTACCTCCCCCACTTCATCAAAACAAAATATCTGCAACATTATGTCTATTACCAAACCTTTGTCATCGGTTGGCGAAGGGACTACATTATCTACCTCTAAGGTCACCCCGTCGGTCAATGTCACTTCTCAGCCATCTCGCTCAGCTGACGTGGCATCAAGCCAACCTTCACGCCAAAGGCACGGAACGCCTATTGTTCTGTTCAAATTCATTTTCTTAGGCATTAAAATAGATCGCGCGGTTACTGTCGATGTGGGAATAAGGATTATTCCGAAATCTGAGGAAGACTATCGTAAGATCGTTCGACTGTTCCGAGAGAAATCACACTTTTCCTCTCCCTTCCTAACGGAACATCCACGCGGTGGTTCGAGGAGTTCCCATCAAGTTTTCGGATACTGAGATTAAGGGAGAACTTTAGCAGAGGGGATATAGCCCTCTCCACATCATTCGATTGAAGCGCAGCGACGGCACGCCCATGCCTTTGGTGGTCGTGATACTGCCCGAGACTGAAAAGTCTCAGCAAATGTTCAACGAACACGAACTGCTTGGACTGGCCATTCGAGTTGAGGTTCTGAAGAGCTCCAGACTCATTGGGCAGTGTCACCGCTGCCAAAAGTACGGGCATGCGCAGTCATATTGCACTGCACCGCCCAAATGTTTAAAATGTGCAAAGGACCACATGACGCATTTGTGCCCCCTCACAGAAGAGGAAGAGCGCAAGTGCGTAAACTGTGGAGAGGGACAACCCGTAAATAGCCGGACTTGCAAGTGCCCTCCAAGGAGGAACCTGCAAGTTATAGCGCAAAGGCGCAATCTATCATACGCGGACGCAGCTAGGGAAGCAACCTTGCCTGCCCCCTCTGCCCAACCTCCCTTGAGCACGCAAAATGCGGACCTGGCAACCGCGCTAAGCCCACTGATTAGGGCTACCCAAGCGTTGCCGGCGATGTTTCCTGTAAATGTCTAGGTACAATAGTAGACAGCCTGCATTCATCAAAATTATTTTTTGGAATTGTTTGGGCATGAGCGATATTCCCAAAAAAACGGGAATTTCATCAAGATCTTTTGGATGAAGGTATAGATGTGGCCTTGCTGCAGGAAACGTTGCTTAATCCGAGAGATCGTTTAGCTCTCCCGAATTATGATGTTATCCGAGGTAACAGATTGAATGGTCGAGGTGGCGGTTTAGCAGTGTTGATTAAGCGCGGTATAGACTATTATAGAAGCACTAATGCGGAGATACATATCATCGAAGCAGGTTCTGTGGTGGTCAACATGGCGGGAGGTATCTCGTTGAACATCACATCGGTGTATGTCAAGTGTGGTGCCAGGCTACAAGAAGCGAAGCTGGAGGTTCTTTTGGACTATTCGGGTCCGCTTATTGTGACGGGGGACTTCAACTGAAGACATCGAGCATGGAATTTTAGGTTGAATTCCACTAGTGGGATTCGATTGTACAACCATGTGATGCGAAATGGGTACCTTATACATAGCACTGAGGAGCCGACACACCATCCATTCAACCATCTTCAGGCACCAGATGCCATCGACTTCGCGATATCTCAAAACTGTAGATACAGTATCTCTTCTCGAACCTCTATAGTGACCATCTACCTGTTGTTTTAGATGTGGGCAATGAGCAAACTTCTGAGGAGGAAGCTCATTCAAAGAAACACATGCGTTGGGAGCTATACAAGTTGCTCCTTAGAGAGTTTTCCTATATCCTGATTATAGATGATGAGTCTGGAATAGATATCGCTCAAGCGGAGTGGACAAGTTTCATTCAAGCAGCCCTGCAGCGTGCAGCTGTACTTCCTAAACAACGGCACGGCAGACCTTTTTTGCCTGCCGACATTCGTCAGAAAATCTCTGACAAAAGAGCCGCTATTAAGCAGGTAAAAAGGTATTGTCATCCTGATGACATTCGTAGGGCTACAAATCTTGTCCATCAAGTGAGAAACGCACTGCGCGAACTCTGCAACGAGAAATGGAGTGACCTTCTGGTGGGAATGCTTTATTCAAGTATTCCTCTCTGGAGGGTCGCAAAGTCACTCAGAAACGGAAAGCGAGAACTCCCGCACATCCACGGTCCTGAAGACATAGTCTTCAGAACGGAGGATAAGGTCGAGGTTTTCGCTGATGCCATGGAAAAACAGTAATCCGTGTACCAAGTCAAAAAGCCTAGGTGTCTTCTCTTAAACTAAACACGTCTGTATCTCTATGCTCTCCTCCATTTTTCTTCTCTTTCCCTTTCTCTTTTTCCTTGACATTGTCTGGTTTCTGGACAATCAGGACTGACAGATTCGACTAACGTACATTAGACAGTGGCTAATGGGCAAAGGTCCTACGAACCGCCCAGACAAACAAATGACGAATTTTCAGGAATTCGCATACCAGAGTAGTGAATTTTTTGTGCCTCCGGAACGCAACATAAAGGTTTGTCATTTGAAGTGTGACCGCACACAAAAAGACAAGATCAGTTGCTGAGATCTGTCTTGAAAATGACTGCAATGGCAGCGAGTAGTATCAGTGCAGTGATAGTAGAGAGAGCAACGCTGAAGGAAGGCAGGAAATACCGCTGGTGGAGAAAAGAAAAAGAAAGAAAGAAGAGGGAGAGCAAAGAGGAAAGAGAAGATTGTCTTGTTCGATATGATGCCTCCTTACTGCCTTGTACTTGTATAGTCACTAACGTCATGGCAGGAACCTATTTCAATCCCCATATCTCTCGAAAACGTCAAATTAATAAAACTGAATAAAGATGCCTTAGATGAAAAGTGGCAGCTCTTTTGACAAAAAACAATATTTCTTCCAAAACAAAACATTTCATAAGTGCTCTAAGCAAACCAGTCATTTTATTCGTAGGCATAAGTTTTGTATCCTAACTGAAAAAAGCCCAAAACAGTATTCGCCCTATGAACTGTGTTTTTGTGATGCCTAAAAAAATGACTGTAGTTGTAACGAAAATCTAAGAAATTCAAGTACATAGAGATATTAACAAGATATATATTACATTTTGCACAGGTACGAATCATTTAATACAGATTATCCTTACTCTTAAACTTACTTAAATAATTATATTATTATGACGTTACAATCCTTAATAGAGTATCTTAATTTATATTTAATATATTTACAAACATTTATATACACAAAATATTATACAACAACAATGTTATATTATTGATAAAAACTTGAATATTTGAAATCCTACACTTGCTGAAAATTGGTACCGGATTTATCAACTAATTTGTGACATTTTACATCTACAGTTGTCATATTGACAACTGAATTAGAACGTCAAACACAGCATGCCATCGATGACTCAATTTTTGTCATTTGTCATAATACTGTTCTTGTTACATATGCAGAAGACATTCAACATTTACAAAATAATCTAATCTTAATAATATGTTCTTTTAATTTTTTGAGGTCAAATTGGAGTGGCTGCTAACTGGATCATCATACTAGTCAAAATGTGTGGTCGTTATAAATCTTTTTTTCTCTAAATATAGAGACTATCAAACTTCTGTCTGGGAATTAAACAAACCAAAATACGAACCGCCGGCCAGTGGACGGTCAGCGAAAGATAACAGATAATGTGGACTATGGCCAGTGATATTGTGTCCGATTATTGGAATGAACGGTTTTTCATAGCATCCCAATAACCGGCCACTTCCATTTTTCCGCCATTTTTTCATGAGACTGCGACCTCAAACCTCATTAGAAGGTCAAGCCAGTTTTGCTGAATGAAGCCCCTAAGTAGGGAAAGGACTGAAATACGATTCATAAGGAAAACTTTTGTTTAATGAATTTGTGAAGATTTATCTAATGGTGACCTTGATTATAACCTTCAAGCTTATCTGAAGGTCATAGCAGTTTGCCTAAATGAAACCCCTAAGTCGGAAAAGGAACAGAATACCTCGAAACAGACGATTCCTAAGGAAAAAATGTTGTCTAATCAAGATGAAAGGTTTATTTAACTACAGTGGACCTCCGGTAATCCGACAAACATTATACAGGGCAGTGTCGGACTATCGAATTTGTCGGATTATAGAGCACTGCCTAAGACCCCCTATAGTCCGGAATTTTTCACAAAAGAGTACCTTGTAATCCGACAAATTACATATCAAATGGTAAGATTATATATGTTATGTATATGTATGTATTTATTTTGAAGTACAAATCATACATAGTTTATGTATGTCGAATTTAGTAAATTAAATAACAATAGAGAGCTTACGTTTTATTATAAAATTAAGCATAAATGCACATACATATGTACCAAAATAATCAAGAATTATTCTGGTCCATTGGTTGAATCAGTGCAGTGCAATTTGGCGGAAGAAACATCACAGTGATGCATTTATCCTCAGTTGTTAGTTCTTCTTCAGACGGATGACCGGGAGCGTGATCAAGAAGCAACAACGCTTTTTGAGGAAAATTATAATCTTTTAACCATTTTGTAACTTCAGGTACGAAGCATTCATCAAACCACTTTTTGAAAAGGTCTTTTGTCATCCATGCACTTTTTTGTCCGTAATAGTGTACAGGTAAATCAACGTTTTAGAATGCCCGTGGTTTATTAGATTTCCCAATGACCATCATCTAGCACATGGTAGTATGGTTACACGCTCTTTACTTACTTTTCGTCCAGGTACGGATTTTTCGTTACAAGAAACGAAAGTATTGTTAGGCAACACACACCAAAAAAGCCCTGATTCGTCTGCATTGTACACTTGTGACGGGTCAAGATTTAATTCGTTCACCTTTTGCAAAAATCTTAATTTCCTGTTATAGTACTTAAACGTATGCCATGACGACTTTTAAAACGTTCTAGCCATCCTTTGCTGGCCACAAAATCATCTTTTTTTGTTATTTCCTTATAAAAAAACTTAGCTTTCGTGGCCAACATGGGTCTTGAAATTAGTGCATGCCTATTTCTTTCCTGAAGAAACCACATATACAAAGCTTCTTCCACTTCTGGATGTTCAGCTTTCTTGAGTGTCTGTCTCTTGCCTGGCCCGCAGTCAGTAGTTGACACGAACTTCTTGATCTTCTCGTGGTTTCTTTTAATGTCATAAATTGTAGATCGGCCTACGCCGTATTCACTTGCTAAACTACTGAAGGTTTCATTGCGATTTAAGCGGTCAAAAATATCACTTTTGTCTTTAATTGTCAATGTTTTGTGCTTTCGCTTCTGAGTTTGTGATGACTTACTAGGTACTATACTTAATACACAATGAATAAATAGTAAACAATGAACGCACGCTAGGCCGGACCGCTATCACCAGTAGTCAAATTCAAACTAAGTAGAACAATGCTTACGCGTCGAGCACGACAGCGGTGGCGCGTACAAGTTGTAACCTGTTCAAACCTGCGTGATCTACATTAGCGAAGATTGTCAAATACGTATGTATGTAATACATATTCAAAGACATGTCGGATTACAGGGGGCGCCGGGTTAGACAGGGGCCGGATTATCGGGGGTCCACTGTAATGGTGATCTTGAATATGACCTTGACTATAACCTTCAAGCTCATTTGAAGGGCAAGACAGTTTTCTTAAATGGAAAAACCTATTTTTGGCATTTGACATTGGAAATAGAAAAGTAAAAAACTTTATGTTAACTATGACTAAATGTCATTTGAAGATAAAATCATTTTTAACGCTAAACATCTGTTTTGAATTTCTGAAATAGAAATTGCGGACAATTTTAAATTCAAGTATATCCTTGCGTATGTACCTGACCATGACCTTCGAGGCTTTCTTAAGATCAGATAAATTTCCAAGTACTTCTTGTTGATGATGTGAAAAAGCGAAAGACTAAAATTAATTTATTGTTGCGTTAAAATGTTGGATGAAAAGAAATGATTACCAAATTAACTAGGATCACTAGAGCGTGAGAAGGCATATGGTTCGTTAAGGACTTATTACGATACTCAGTTGAATTTTTCATGTATCTTAAAATCCCCCACATTCCTTTCTCATAGCGATCAAGTGTGCCGAGTGCGAATACCTCCAAGTGAAGCGTGCCGAGGCATGCACAGGCTTAGGCTAGAAAAAAAGTGGATCGGTAAAGACGTTTCATTTACAAATTCGCTAACAACCAAGAAGCAAAACGCTGCTTAGCTGCCGCTAAGAATAGTTGTTTGATTGATATCAATCACACAAAGCCTTCATAGCCACTTTCGGGCACAGAAGCTTGACAGTATTGCTCTGTTGGTGTTTTGCAACGAAGTGTGAGACTCTTCAGGAATTCTGCGACCACTCAGTTGTTTGCTACATATCCCACCATAGTATTGTTCTCAGCATTCTGTTATTATGGACGAAGCAGTAATGCACGATTTGAAAACGCCAGATCCATAACAGCGCATGGAGATGAAGTGTGATCCTGGACACGTACTTTTTGACATCACCCATTTAACGCAGAACTTTGTTGGGAATGATTTATAAGGGATTAAGCAGCTCATTTAGTATTCAAATGAGTATAGTGTCGAAGTTTTGAACAAACTATACATCCCTTTCACATTTCGATTGTAACTACGGCATTACTTCAATTTCCGCCAACCTAAGGATTTTCTTTTCTAGTGCCCTTATGATAACTAGGAAAACCTTAAAACTCGGAAGTGTCACTAAAAACAAATGCTTCAAAGTAGATGAAAAATATTTGCCGACACTTTTTGATTCATTTACTTGAATGTTTCTTTCTGTCATGGAATGCTTGATTAATCTTTTTTTGTTAGGTCGCAAAGACAATAAAGCGAATGGGTCCCATTGTATTCATTGGCAAATTCATTATTTTGTAAATTAGTTAATAACAGTCCTCTTCCCCACCATACTCAACGTAAGTATCGAAAGAACTGCTCTTTGGGTCACAAATAGTACCCTCAATGGCCTCGTCTGTGTAAGCAGACATAATCCTGAAGTTTACTTTATTCTTATCCAGTGTTTCGTATAAATAGAATGGTAGTTTGTTGGACAATACCCAGACACTTTGTCGTTCTTCTTGATCGATTTTGATATCGTTGGGAAACACCAGCGTCTCGCTACTTTGAGCTACTACGCCGAGGTTGTTTCTTTTGTAGGGTTTGCCCGAATCCCAACAACCAATGCTGTCTCTGGTCACCATATTGTAGAATAAGATCCCTGCAAGGAAACAAGTAATGATAAATATATTAGTACACAGAATTATAATGTGAATTTGTAAACGTGTCATCACTACTTCACGGCTGTGCCGCCGCCCAAGTAATGCTGTCATTAGTTCATAAAGGATTATGTTCGACTCAGGTTAGCCTCTCCAAGAAAAAGTGAATTGTTAGCATCTAGATGAATCTAGTCACCCCTACAGGCTCATACAATAAGTCCACAATCCCCATCCATATGATAACGTTGCGATCTAGAAACGTCTCCCCTGTCCTACTGTTTTATCAACATTTTAGAGGCAAAAGTATGTATGCGTATGCGTTTAGCTTTGCCTCCATTGGATCGTTTTCAAAGAGAATAAAACCTTTTTTCGTACTTGACATAGTAACCGTGGTACAAAATTTCACCAAAATCCCACCGGTACTTTCCAAGCTATAACGGTGCCAAGGATTAGCAAACAGACAGACGGAAAGATCAACGGAACTAACATGATTTTTCATGACGTATATCTTATGAAACGCCCAAACGGGCAACATCGCATTTTTAGAATCTCTCACGCTTACAGTACTTCGCCCGTTGGTGTAGGAAGTAAGAATCAACAACTCAAGATACAACAATGTACCTAGTTTATGCCACCGGTGATGACTCAGCGCTGTTATAAATTCCTAGTAGACCTGAAACAGTCCAGTATAACTGGAAACCGAATTTACGCCTCAAAATTTCTGTTTTGCTGCCAGCGTATTGATTAGTAAGTGTATCGAATTACTTGAATCATTCGAGGTAGTACCTATAGACGATTTACACGAAATATTCTCAATACCTATTTCAAAGACTGGAAGTCGTAGTAGGAAGTATCTCGAAATACCTTGAACATTAACATATTATACAGGGTGTTCCTTAATGATATGCGAATATTCAAGGGTGTGAATCTATATGAAAAATTAATTTAGTTTAATTTATATTAGTTTGATATATAAACTATGGTCCAAAAATGTTTCCTTACAAAAACTCGGGGTGTTGAAATTTTAGGAAAAAAACTGGAAATTAATAATATTTTCAGAACCGCTTCAGATATTTCACTGATATTTAGTACGTAGTGAAAGTTTATAAAGTTGCATATTTTTCAATGCAAACAAAATTTTCATCTGTAACAGTGGCGTGCGTACGGCTATTGACTTCGATATCTTTTAGTAAAAAAATGGTTTTTTGCCAAATAAAAATTATTTTTGAATTTCATGTTCAATTTAAAAGAAATAATCTCTCTTGAATTGTTTTCCTTCGATACGCCATTTTTTAGTAAAAACATAAAAACTGTTCTATTGTCTATTGTGTAAATTAATGTAATAATTGAAGAATGCAATTTAGCAAAAAATATCTAGTTGGTATGGAATATGTCACTGGCTTTTGACATCTGACAAGTCTTTGTTGTGACATCTTTTTCATTATTTAGCTGTTACAATCTTGTTAATAACGGTGAATTATACAAATGCAGAAATTTGTCACCAGAGATATCCCGATCGTGCTTTGCCAGATAGTCGAAACTTTTTCTAATATACATCGTCGTCTTGTTGAAACTGGTTCTATCCGAAAAGGAACATTTGAGGGTAGACCTCTAAGTGTGAGAACACCTGAAATTGAGGAAGCAGTGCTGCACGAAGTCGAAGAACATCCTGAAACGAGTACGAGGAAGATCGCTAGACTTGCCATCAAATTGTTTGGGAATCTTAGTTTATTTTTTGTTATATCCTCACCGTATTTGTACTTCGCATTGATTTTTCAAGGCGTGTGACCTTTTGTCAGTGGTATCTTCAAAAAATTACACAAAATCCGCAATTTGAATCAATGATTCTGTTCACGGACGAAGCTAATTTTTCTCGAAATGCCATTCAGAATTTCCACAATAATCATTTCTGGGCAGAAGAAAATCCCTATGCCGTAACCGAAACCCATTTCCAACACCAATTTTCGGTTAACGTATGGGCAGGAATTATTAGCAACTACTTTATTCGCCCATTCTTCTTGCCGGGACGACTTGACGGACAAACTTGCCTCAATTTTCTTCAACAACAGTTGCCTTTGCTGCTTGATGATGTTCCGTTAGTAATAAGAAACAATATGTGGTACATGCATGATGGTGCACCAGCGCATTTCAGAGTAGCGGTTTGTAATTATTTACAAACTGTTTATTCAAATTGTTGGATTGGCCGCGGTGGGCCCCAAGAATGGCCACCAAGCTCCCCAGACCTCAACAGTTTAGATTTCTGTTTGTGGGGCTATCTTAAGACACTAGTGTACACAAGCCCCATTAACGCTATAGAGGAATTAAGAGAAAGAATAGTTGCAGCTTGGGATAGAATAACAAACATTCCAGGGATATTTCAACGGGTGCGCAATTCGATAAGAAGGAGGGCGGAAGCGTGCATACTAAGTGAAGGGTGCCACTTTCAACATTTTTTGTAATCATTTCGTTAGTTTTATTAATGTTATGTGTATGTTGTCAGTTGTTGTTGTTCATTACCCCTAATGTGTTTAACTTTTCCAATTAAATTAATGACAATTTTGCAAATTAGACAATAGAATGGTTTTTATTTCCTTACTCAAAAATGGCGCATCGAAGGAAAGAAAGCCCATTTGTTTTAAATTGAACGGGGAATTCAAAAATAATTTTTATTTGGCAAAAAACCATTGGCGTACCATTTTTTTCTTAAAACATGTCCAAGTCAATACCCGTACGCACGCCACTGTTAAAGCTAAAAATTATTTTTGCATTGAAAAATATGCGACTTTATTAACTTCCACTACGTACTAAATATCAGTGAAATATCTGAAGCGGTTCTGAAAATATTAATTAATTTCTATTTTTTTCCTAAAACATCAACACCCCGAGTTTTTGTAAGGAAACGTTTTTGGACCATAGTTTATAAAGCAAATTAACATTAATTTTTCATGTAGATTCACACCCTTGAATATTCGCATATCATTAAGGAACACCCTATATACAAGCAGTCTGAGTGACGAGTTCTTCAGGTCAACCACGGAAATACCAGGATGATACTGATTGAACTAGAAACAAGTTTCAAATACTCATATTGCTGTTTAAAAACGCATTTTAATTCTAAATCGACTAATAAGAATCTTATGTATAACAGACGTCTATATTACAACTATTTAAAACTGTAATGACTCATACGCGTGATCAACACGTGATCAGAGCTCGATCCCGGCTTCCTTCCAGTACAGCCGTATAGCGTACGACATATGTCGTTTCTGTGGCTTTGCGGTGGTCAACAGCACAGACAGAGATGGAAATAATGGCTGATTGTTCTCCGTCGGTAGAACCAATGAAATCAAAGACGCGTCTCGACCGGCAGACTCATATTCGTCGGCAACGCATTGGAACATGTTTCGTTGAGCGATCGCATATTGTGTGTTTTTATAAGAATTGTTGTGTGATTGTTATTGTTGTGGTTTCTGTGGTTACTGTTTTGGTCATACTTAACCATGGAGAGTACAAATGGCACGAGTGGAAGTACTGAAAGCCAGGGAACAAGTAGACGGCTTCGTAAAGCACTGTAGAGGGACGCGAAAGAAATCGTGCTCAACGTGTTCAATTATCTGAACAGAACTATGTCGCAGGGAGATGCACTCGCGCGTTGTGAAAGTATGACAGGCGTTCCAGAGTGGACCATTCGCAGGGTGGTGCATGAAAAGAAGAAAACTGGAGCTACTACTGATCCAAAGTTTAATTTGAAGGGACGAAAGGCTGTTAAATTGGATGACGATAGCAAAATGGCGTTAAGGCGAACCGTACATTCATTCTTCTTTAGGAATGAGATACCAACCCTCAAGGCTGTACATGCAGCGATCAAGGAAAATGAAATTATACCCCAAATGAGCGTCAAGGTAATGAGGAAATCCCTGCATGAAATTAATTTTCGTTACGAAACGCGTAATCGGAAGTCAGTATTGATAGAGAGACCTGAAATAGTCGCTTGGCGTCGAAAATACCTACGCGAAATGATTGAATATAGGCGACAAAGCAGAAAAATCTATTATTTGGACGAAGCATGGGTAAATGCAGGTCACACAGTTAAAAAAACTTGGATAGACAAAAACGTAGTGAGTAACCGACAAGCAAGCATTGAAGGTTTGTCAACAGGTCTTCGTGGACCGTCAGGGAAAGGTCAAAGATTGATCGTAACTCATATTGGTAGCGATAGTGGCTTTTTAGAAGAGTGTGACTTGATTTTCGTCTCTAAGAAAGGAGGTGATTACCATGACGAAATGAATGCCAGCTGCTTCGAGAGCTGGTTTCAAGGGGTGCTTCAGCGAGTTGAGCCCAACTCTGTGATCGTCATGGATAATGCTTCCTACCATAGTCGTCGAGCCGAACGTGTACCGACTATAGGATCTCGAAAAAGTGACATGCAGCAATGGTTGCGCGAAAAACAAATCCCGTTTGACGATTCATATGTGAAAGCGGAATTGTATGAAAAAATTAAACAGCACAAACCTGCGAACATTAGTTACGTGACTGATGAGATGGCCCGTCAATGTGGTGTCACTGTGCTGCGGTTACCGCCCTACCACTGTGAACTGAACCCAATAGAGCTCATCTGGGCTCAAGTGAAGGGTATATTGCGCGCTATAACACAACCTTCAAATTACCAGACGTTAAGGTTTTACTTGAGACTTCCATACAGCTAGTAACGCCCGAAGCTTGGCAGAATGCTATCCGTCATGTTGTGAAGGAAGAAACAAAAATGTGGCAGCTTGACCACCACATCGACACCATCATAGAGCCAGTTATAGTCAATTTCAACGAGGAAAGCGATAGCGACAGTTTATTACTGTCAGATGTAAGTGGAAGCGACGATGAATAAAGGTAATTCCCAAATTTTTTACTTACAATATGTTTCAAACCACTCTTTATTAAGCATGTGACAAATCTAGTTCAACCATGTTAAACATTCATACCCCGCCTATGAACAGCCGACTACTGGTAGTTAAGTGATGTTCACGTGAACATCGATGAGTCACTACAGTTTTAGATAGTTATAGGAAATATTTCGATACCAAATTTGAACTGCAGATAGGTATATGAGTCTATCGTCAGTAGAGTTCTAACAGTGCGTATGTGATTTTTGGCCGGTGTTAACATTTTAATGCCATTCGATAAGGATGATACACGTGCTTTCATTCGACCAATTAAAATGGAGATAGTTGACCAATAGCCCTGCATTTTTCAATACGACTATTGAATTCGTCAAGGATTGTTAATATACAGATATTAATAATTTTTGGCATATATGTTCAGTGTCCCTTGCTAGTAAAATCATTAAATTATACTTGCACACTCATTGACACGCTTTGGCATCGTGCTGATAGGTGGTCGATATCCTGTTGAGGTATCTCATTCCAGGCTACTGTAACTTCGTGAGTAAGAGCTGCTAAAGTCTGTGGAGGGCGTTGCAAATTCAAAAGCCTGCGACCTATCATGTCCCAGACATGCTCAATTGCAGGTAAACGGTTGATGCCATGAAGGCTAACGATGCTGTGGCAACATGCGGTCTGGCATTGTCTTGCTGAGAAATCGGGTTTTGGATGGTGTTTAGGTATGAAATAAGATGAGGCTCCACTACTTCCTGAATATAGCGTCGGGCTGTCATATTGCATCTGATGAAAATTAGTGGTGATCTGCTATCATAAGCAATAGCACCCCATACCATAACTCCCACGGTTTGGTGAACGTGACGCTCGCTGTCAAATTGTGGGTCAATTCTTTCACCACGAAGCCTTCTCACTCTTCCCCGACCATCGTGCATCCCCAGACAGAAGCGGGATTTGTCACTAAATGCCACCTGATCCCCTAAAAGCAATACACGCAGCCAACACAAAAAGTTAACAGAAAACCATTTGATCACTTTACAGTTATAAAACCGTCACGGTACTCTCTGCTATGTTGCTTATCACCTACTGAGTATTTTTTGTATCGAACTAATTCTCTAGAATAACAGGCTGGTTGTAGTATCGACTGTAGTATTTATCCATACCTTTTTATCCATCCAATGTGCGGAAACGTGCCCATTCTTGCCTCTGCTTTGGCCCATAACCTCAAAAGCATGTTTAGTCATGGCCCAGCCGGTTTCATTACAAACCACTGATGTTGGTACCCGGAACTCCCTAAAGCTTGACATAGGATGGAAGTAGAGTATTCGGTCTTGGGTATACTTGTCGGTTGGGCTCAAAGCTAGCGCGAACAAGCCGTCTGTCCATTCGAATTCTAGATGGTGGACCTAGAAGTATCGGTAGCGAATTAGGGAATCTATGAGCATTGAGAAGCGATATATACTTCGAGACTTTGTTTTTAAATAGGTTGATTAATTTTGAAAAAATAACATGCTTGTTTTTATTGTCAGAATGTAGAGGTATGGGAGTAAGGCTTATGGATCATATCCTTCGTGTTCTTTAACTGAAATTTTGTGTAATATTTCGGCACAAGCGCTGCTTAATTGCATCAATCACTTGAGAAAAGTTTTATTTCAGGCTTCAGGCACCAGAGATCAACGGGGAAGCTCCTAGCTTACGTCATGCAAATATGGAGTAAACTTATCCAGTCATTTGGTAAGGCTCATGTTTCTGCTGATACAACAAAACATTAAGCAAACTACGGTCTTATATATACATACAGGGTGTAAACGTTATAGTAGTCATTATTGAAATGGGTAATAGGGTGGCTAAAGCAAGACAAAAAGTTCATATGATCCATGGTCAATAGATTTTTGCCTAAATGGCTTTATACTTTACAACTTTAAGTGCTTTATATCGACCACAATCACCACAATCTTACTAATTTTTATAACCTAATCTAAAACGTTTTTAAAATGGGTAATTAACAAATAAATGGCATTAAGTTTTTCTAAGTTAAGGCAAAATTTGTAGTCAATAAGTAAGTAAATTTCAATGAATTAAATATTTAAAACACACACGACAACAGCGCGTCGTCATCACTCTTATCGAACCGGTAATTGATCGCAAACGGTAACAGTGGTTATACTACAACTATTTAAAACTGTAATGACTCATACGCGTGATCAACACGTGATCAGAGCTCGATCCCGGCTTCCTTCCAGTACAGCCGTATAGCGTACGACATATGTCGTTTCTGTGGCTTTGCGGTGGTCAACAACACAGACAGAGATGGAAATAATGGCTGATTGTTCTCCGCCGGTGGAACCAATGAAATCAAAGACGCGCCTCGACCGGCAGACTCATAGGCGTCGGCAACGCATTGGAACGTGTTTCGTTGAGCGATCGCATATTGAGTGTTTTTACAAGAATTGTTGTGTGATTGTTATTGTTGTGGTTACTGTTTTGGTTATACTTAACCATGGAGAGTACAAATGGCACGAGTGGAAGTACTGAAAGCCAGGGAACAAGTAGACGGCTTCGTAAAGCACTGAAGAGGGACGCGAAAGAAATCGTGCTCAACGTGTTCAATTATCTGAACAGAACTATGTCGTAGGGAGATGCACTCGCGCGTTGTGAAAGTATGACAGGCGTTCCAGAGTGGACCATTCGCAGGGTGGTGCATGAAAAGAAGAAAAATGGAGCTACTACTGATCCAAAGTTTAATTTGAAGGGACGAAAGGCCGTTAAATTGGATGACGATAGCAAAATGGCGTTAAGGCGAACCGTACATTCATTCTTCTTTAGGAATGAGATGCCAACCCTCAAGGCTGTACATTCAGCGATCAAGGAAAATGAAATTATACCCCAAATGAGCGTCGAGGTAATGAGGAAATCCCTGCACGAAATTAATTTTCGTTACGAAACGCGTAATCGGAAGTCAGTATTGATAGAGACACCTGAAATAGTCGCCTGGCGTCGAAAATACCTACGCGAAATGATTGAATATAGGCGACAAAGCAGAAAAATCTATTATTTGGACGAGACATGGGTAAATGCAGGTCACACAGTTAAAAAAAACTGGATAGACAAAAACGTAGTGAGTAACCGACAAGCAAGCATTGAAGGTTTGTCAACAGGTCTTCGTGGACCGTCGGGGAAAGGTCAAAGATTGATCGTATCTCATATTGGTAGCGATAGTGGTTTTTTAGAAGAGTGTGACTTGATTTTCGTCTCTAAGAAAGGAGGTGATTACCATGACGAAATGAATGCCAGCTGCTTCGAGAGCTGGTTTCAAGGGGTGCTTCAGCGAGTTGAGCCCAACTCTGTGATCGTCATGGATAATGCTTCCTACCATAGTCGTCGAGCCGAACGTGTACCGACTATGGGATCTCGAAAAAGTGACAGGCAGCAATGGTTGCGCGAAAAAGGAATCCCGTTTGACGATTCATGTGTGAAAGCGGAATTGTATGAAAAAATTAAACAGCACAAACCTGCGAACATTAGTTACGTGACTGATGAGATGGCCCGTCAATGTGGTATCACTGTGCTGCGGTTACCGCCCTACCACTGTGAACTGAACCCAATAGAGCTCATCTGGGCTCAAGTGAAGGGTTATATTGTGCGCCATAACACAACCCTCAAATTACCAGACGTTAAGGTTTTACTTGAGACTTCCATACAGCTAGTAACGCCCGAAGCTTGGCAGAATGCTATCCGTCATGTTGTGAAGGAAGAAACAAAAATGTGGCAGCTTGACCACCACATCGACACCATCATAGAGCCAGTTATAGTCAATTTCAACGAGGAAAGCGATAGCGACAGTTTATTACTGTCAGATGTAAGTGGAAGCGACGATGAATAAAGGTAATTCCCAAATTTTTGACTTACAATATGTTTCAAACCACTCTTTATTAAGCATGTGACAAATCTAGTTCACCCATGTTAAACATTCATACCCCGCCTATGAACAGCCGACTACTGGTAGTTAAGTGATGTTCACGTGAACATCGATGAGTCATTATAGTTTTAGATAGTTATAGTATAGTTATCGGGCATCGGGCCTGTCGTTTTGTTTTGTTCGCGTACGTCGTCGTGTTTATTTACAACGTTCTCGAATCAAGAGTTCGCCGACATGTTGTTAGTTTACGGTGAAGCTCCTCAGAATTTAAATCTTGCAGCTCAAATTTATCGCCACAGATTTCGCCAACGGGTACACCCTGACAGAAGGACATTTGTGCAAGTGTACCAAAGACTTCGAGATACAGGAAGTGTTCAGCCCACTAATATTCGCACTCATGAAAGACAGGTTACTGTAGAGCAGGACGAACAAATTTTAAATATCGTGGAAATCAATGCAGATATCAGCACTCGGGAATTAGGCCGCCGTGTAGGACTATCGCATGCCATTGCCCATAGAATTCTGCGTGAAAATTTGCTTCATCCACACCATGTACAACGTGTGCAGGCCTTGTTAGCAGAAGACTATCCTCGCAGACTAACATTCTGTCACTGCTTTTTACACAAAAATATTGAAAATTCGGATTTTTTTAAAAGCACTATAGCGATGGACCGATGTACTTTTACGCGGGACGGATATTAAATTTCCATAATACTCACACGTGGACCCAAGAAAATCCTCATATCTTTCGTGAAGGTCATTTCCAACAACGCTTTAAAATAAATATTTGGGCGGGTATTTTTGACGATCAGGTACTTGCCCCTTTCGAGTTACCCCCAAAGTTGTCAGGACAAGGATACCGTAGCTGTCTAGCCAATAACTTTTGGAACAGACCTTAGGCAACATGCCATTACAACGGAGACAGAATTTGTGGTTTCTTCATGATGGGGCACCACCACACAGTTTTAGAGGCGCTATTCAGTATTTGAATGAACATTATCCAAATCGCTGGATCGGCCGAAATGCTCCTGATCCTCGAAAATGGCCAGCAAGATCTCCTGATCTCAATCCGGTGGATTTCTGGTATTGGGGAGAACTTAAAAGGATGATTTATGGGGCTGGTCCAATAACAACGTCGCGAAAAAAAAAATTAATGCGGCTGAAATAATAAATAGACAACTTCGAGGACCTAGAGTAAGAAGAAACTGGGTTCGTCGTAATGAAGCTTGTGTGGAAAGTGGAGGACGACATTTTGAACACCTTCTTTAAATACAAAAAAGTGCAGTGGTGTTTTAAAAAGAAAAACAATGTATGTATCAAAATTGTGTCCCTATTTATAAGTTGATTCTTTTAATACGTTCAATAAACTTTCACACACCAGGTAAGGCGCTGAGTCAGTTAGTGGTAAGTCCGTTTTTTTTAATTGTTTGCATTTTACGAGTACATTATCAAATAATGAAATAATACCTAAGAGCCAAAAACTACAAACTCCATCTTTATTTACACTGCGCTCAGTCGTAATTTGCGTCTGGCATTGCGGCGTTGTCAGATTTTATTTTAATTTAAAGTCACTTTTCTCTTAAAAAATGCCGTTTTTACCCCCATGTTATATGAAACTTTTTGCTTCTTTTAGCTCCCTCTATCACCCATTTAAATAATGACTATCATAACGTTTACACCCTGTATATATGAAAATAAAACTTCTGCCCTTAGTTGGTCCTTCGACAAGATTCATACTTTATTAGTCTCTAGCTTCAATGGACTATGCCATCATCATCAGGAGAATAGTATGTGAGATTGTTGCTAAACGTTAATAAGGTCAAGTTGAGGGAAACATTTAGTAACCTGGTGAAAGCTGGTACATTCGTTTAAAATTGGTGACCATTTTCAGTGTTTTCATAAGCAATTTTTTCTCGCATAGCTGACTGTCAATAGCTGTTGGAATAAAGCTGGCCGAGAGGTGTGCCTGCCTCTTTTGGTACTTGAAATATTGCTTTTGGTGTGCGTGCTCTATGCTCAATCAATTTTCTTTATTTTTTTCTGTAAGAACTCTACATATATAGCATTAGTAAACTTTAAAAAACGATGAATGAAGTCGTTCTCAAGTTATGACGTGACCATGCAAAATAGGGATTCATTTATATATATATATATATATATATATATATCTATATATATATATATATATATCTTGAGACGTGGTCATTGTCGTCTAGACCAGTTAGGTGAAAAATTAAAGCTTCCGCCTTTTGTTGGGTACTTCGACAAAATTTAAGCAAAGAGGACTCTTTATACTTTTTTTAACTTCTCTCTAGCTTTCCAATGGACTTTGCCATCATCCTCAGGAGCTGCAATTACAATGATAACAGTAGCAACAAAGTGTAAAATGAATTTAAATTGACTCAAATACAGTAGTAATGTAGTAATTTTATGCACTTCCGAAAATTCACTAACCTGTACTCTCAGTAAGACCTATA